AGCATAGACCTAGCGATTTTTATCTTATTTTGTTACAGTTTATACCCAGATTTCGGTTACAGTTTAGACTTCGATATTTTCTATATATATATACTAGGTAAAATGTATGAATGTTACTTAGTGTCCAACTTTATTTGTCATCCAATGAAAACGCTGTATTTCTTAAAAAATATGTGCGTTAATTTTCATAGAAGTACAAAAGTCAATACTATATCGAATAACGTCCATATTCGACTTCTATTTTTCATAGTACGTCATAAAACCGCATAGTGACGTAATAAAGTGAATGATAATGAGGCCAAATAAAGTTTGACACTAAATATGTTAGTTTTCATCCATGCTGTTTTACAGCACTTAAAAACATTCTCCTGTCGCTATCGCTCCCGTCGAAGTTTCTAATTTCTGTAGAACAGCACGGATGAACACTAACATATACATAGACTTCTAAATCTATGTGAGCTTATTGGCCCGATGGCTATTCGGTCCGTCGTTACAAGTATGATGCATCTCATTCCGCTCAGTACTTACTTGACTAAATGTGATGAAATTTTCTACATGAATTCTATCAATTAAGTTGTTCAAGATAGTTTCGGGTTTGCATCGGGGTGCGAAACCAAAGACATAATTTTGAAAAATTACATGTTTAAGACCTTCGATTCTCGAACAAAAAGCATTCAATAAACTCATGATACTGGCGTCTTTCAATTTATTTTTTGTTAATAACAGATGATATAGCAGTTTTTCATGTTCTGAAAATATATATTGAATGTTACTTCAGAGTCATTTTAAATTAGGTCAGACAATAACAGTCTATTCTCCTATATGACTGACAATTCTGGAAAGGGCGTTAAAATGAGGACAATCAAACAAACAAACAATACAACAGTGAAGTCCTGTGGGCCAGAAGTTCCGATAAGGCCGACTGACTTTCAATCATCTTTCATTTACTGTACTGTAGCAGAAATCAATCATGACTTTGGATCTTTGAATGTGAGGATCTATCAAGCTAATTTACGGACAAGGTCGTGGTTCTAGTCAAAGTGCACGCTCGTGTCAGATTGCTTTACAAACGGGTATTTGCTGGTAATTTCTTTACATAAAGCGGAATGTTTTCAAATGACTTAGTGTCGTTTTAAATTAAATGCCAGAAGCACACGTAAATCAACCCTTTTTAAAATACTTAATAATATACATTATGGTAGACGGGAAATCACTCAAAAAACTATAGATAGTTGCAATATTGTCACTTAAATACTGTTAATGATTCTTAGGTATTGCCGCTTGTTAATTTTGCTCTATTTTGACAGTTATCTCATGTATGCAGGCTACATAACCTCCGACTCTCTCAAAATTTCATTTTATTTAGTTTCATCTCATTGGATTCTTTTTCTCTATTTTATTACTAATAGGTATATTATTATAATGTGTAATCGAAATCAAGCCATAATATTTTTTCTTCTTCTCATACAGTTACTGTTGTTGTTGTGAAAACAGTCCTTACTAAGGAATTTACTTATTCTGCAAAAAGTCTCAATCTGAAACTTAAAGTAAGAAAAATAGCAAACTATATAACTTTTCTGCTGAAGAAAAAAAGTAATACAACCTTTCAAAGAATGTATTAAATGGAAAGGTATGTATGAGTCATTTCATAACGAACTTTGAATTTGGCAAGTATCTAAACTGTAACCGAAATCTGGGTTATAAACTTGTAACACAATTGGATCAAAGTCTAAAGGTCTATGCTGTAACCTCCAAAATTAACCTCGCTCTATACTGTAACATTGATTATTTTTTCAAACGCATTTTACCAACATGAAAATAAGTTCAACTGGTCATTTACTTTTATAAACATTTCTAAACACAAAGGACTAACGTTTTGTAGATTAACTTTATCTAGGCATGCTTAAATAATGTCGGAAAGGGAGAAAAATACGTTGGTCTCTCGATTCATTTTTTTAAACCGTCAAATCTGCACATTTATGAGACAATATAGAGATAAATCTGCGGTGCAGGGTCTGAAGAAATATATGACTAGATACCGGATTCTGTTCCTTACAAGCAAAGCACAAAAGCATCTTTTAGAAACTAAAGTACCAGTAGTATGGACCTGAATAAAAATCACCTACCTCTCTTCCCATAAATAATCCTCCATCTTGCAAATTCTATACTGTAACCGAAAATGCGATACTGTAACACGTTCCCTACGGTGATCTCGTGCAGGCGCATATATCATATAGGTATATTGTAGTCATGAAGTAGATTGAGGAAAGGTTAATCATATATCTGTGAACACTTATGAAATCATATAAACATTGTATAAAATACATGTCCTATTAACCCATGATAGTTGATTTTATATTAAAACTTTTATTATGTGGTCAAGGTTAGCGTTTCAGCCATTGTCTTTCAAGTATATCTAGATGTTTTAATAATTACAGTATACATGAACAAACAATGAACAATTAAAGTTAGTTGAAACATTTATAAAATTTTGTTACACTGATCAAAATTTAAGAGTGACCCGATATTTACATATGATAACAACTTCCCGTCAAGTGCTTGCATACAATACAACATAAAACTACACACAATGACCGCATACAATAAATCTTATTCGTATTTTGTATAATTTTAAATTAATCGTTTATCGCCAGTCCTCTTTAAAAAAAAATAACCGTATTATGTAGCTAAGAGGCGGATATTGTTTAATATCAGACTCATTTGTAACTTCCTGTTGACAATGAAGCTCTAACTCAACATTTTTACATACATGACACACCAAAAGTTATCACGACTGTAACTATTATATTAAAATTTATCACTAGGGACAGGAACTGGGCAAGAATCTACTTCATGGTGCTTATTCTTTCTTTCATTCATTCAATCAATCTTTCATTCTTTCTTTCTTCCTTTCTTTTTCATTTTCTTTTCTTTCTTACTTTATCTTAATTCAAGTTTTGTCAGTTTTTGAATTATTTTAATAATCAAATACTATTTTCTCAAATGATACCATATTGATTGCTGATATATACATTTTATTGAATTCCAATTACAACAGAATTCATGCACATCTTTTTACTACCAGTGAGACGATGTGGGCAGAGCCAATTCTCTAATGTTGTTAAAACTTGTGGCCCGACCCTTTTGCTTATTAATAGCTATAACATCCATGTAATAACTGTATATCCGTTACTCTTTGTAGTTTGTTTGCATGTGACAATATATCTGTTTTTGTATAAAAAGTAAAAGTAATAAAATATGATTAAACTAAATCACTTACAATATGCATTTACATTATGAAAATAAAGTAAACAACTAAATATGTCACCACATATAAGGAAGTTTTTATTAAAGCTCTTACTATAAATTTTTATATACATTACACATCAAATGTTATAACGACTGTAATTATTATATTCAAATTTATAACTTATCTCCCTGACATATTTAGAAAGTATGTAAGTTGAAATAAACTTTCAAAAACATTTTACACTACTGACGACAAACGTTTAAAGGCATGTATGGAGCCGCATTATGTGTAAGTACATGTATATACATGGTTTATATATCAATTGATCGGTCAGATGATAATTGTATACATATAATTGACCATTACTGTCAATTTTCATATATAAAGATCACAAATGTAATCACGCGAGGGAAATATCAAGTTTTTGGAGAGACGCCTTCGTGACTTATCGTTTATAAACAGGACAGAATATGACCCATATTATTTATGAGCTGTAACAATGATTGTCTGTAATTGCATGATTGTATTTTATGTTATATATATTGCACGGGGAAACGCTTATTTGTCGACTTTTCTTGCATATTTACACTGCAAATGTATACTTTACGTTTCTTAGGAGTCAACTCTGATAAGATGTGGCGATGGGTTGTTATCTTGTGCTAATTACTTGATAAGAGATGATTAATAATGATAGGTTCAGATAATTGTCCGGGAGTAATTATGACACTTGACAAGACTCTTCCTTATACTAACACACAGCATCTTTTATGTCTAGGAGGGTACTTGTAACACTTGACACCGTCACATCATATCAAAACAATGAGTTTCAGGTCTTCATCTTCCGCGCACTTAACTCAAGATAACTGTTTACGTTAAGTGATGTTAACATTCCTCAATTGACAAAGAGACGAAATTAACATGGCGTTTTCTGAATTGTAATTAATCATAGTAAGTATCGAACCTAGGTCGACTAACTATTAATCACCCGATCTTATCACCAGGGCATAAACATTCATTCACATGCATGTATACCAGAAAACTACCAGTTCATCTCATTTATATTAACATGGGTGTCTAGAACTAAGAATAACGTATGGTTTTCATCCACAAACTGGAAAAGTAACAGACCTCAAACACAACTTCCCCTTCCCTAAATTCTTCAGAGTAAGAGTGTCTATCAAAGAACATCCTGTTCAACTTTGTTAAGGACGGAAAATTGATCTTCTCTTGGACAAATATTATTACAACAGATCTAAACACTTTATTGTTGAACATGGGCAATATGTAAAAGAATAGATATTCATTCACTTAAATTATCCAGAAATAAGGAACAATTAAATGGGGAGAAATCAATCAGGCCCTTTAAATAGTATCTTACAAATTACATGTACATGTAGTTATTTAAATAGAATGAGTTGGGTTTTGGGGTTTTGTCATGGCTACATTTTACCTGTTTACCTGGAAACGAAAACCTACGTCATAGACCTTAGGGTACATATGTCTATGTTTTAAAACTGTCAAACGAAAATCAGACACAAAGAGAAAATTGCTGAGTTCAACAATGTTCAACATTTCAATCATTTTCAGTATACATGTAAAGTACACTTGTAGATATAAATAATTTAAAAGAAAGTGTTTTGCCTAAATTTTGGTTTGATGTACATTTGTTTAAAAATCCAGCAGACTTAAACACGATGTGTGTTCTTTAGAAAACATGTAACAGTTATGCATTATTCACATCAACTCACACCTGTATAATTCTCCCATGGCCCTGGAATAAACTCCGACCTGAATATATGAGTTGCATAACTCGTCATCATAGAAGATTTTCCAACACACGCGTCACCTACCACAACACATTTTATAAAACGATTTTCATCGTCTTCCCCACTCATTTTGCAGAAAAGGGGAAAAGTACAACTTTAAAAATCCGAGAAATATGACACAAATTAATGTTATACAACTATTTGCGCAGATATGAATGGTATTCGGCGAAGCATGTATATTTCCTTTGACTGAATCTAAATGTAGTTTTGTTTATTTCTAAACCAATCCATGCGTGTCTATTTATAGTGTACTAATTTCATAAAAGTTTGAGGTTGACCTTTTTGGCTTGTGGCCATAGCCGCAATCGAAAAGTTTTTCAGGCTAGGTGGTTTCCTGCTTACAATTGTTAGTGCATGATTGACGTTTCCGCTGCAAACGTGACAATTCGGGCGATTCCGTCATACTGCAGAATTAGAAGAAATAATATTACGGAAATCTAAGCTAATTTTAGTTACTTCGCACTAACAAAGTTTGCACTCTTACCCTATGCTACGACCGGATGTAAACAATACGTTCGCACAGGGCATGCGCGGTGGTTAAATCCCACCCATTTTATTCGATTAAATTCTAGAACAACCACTACTTTCGGTTTCAATTTGCTGACAAGGAACAGTTTGAATCAACGTAAGCGTTAATTTTAATTGCAATGTCGAAAACTTGCACTACACGGCGTAATTTTCATTACATATCCGGTATTATCACCGTCTTAATAATGACGGTACACATTTACATGTAAACAAACAGATTTAACTTCTTAGACAATTTAAATAAGGAATGGACACACGGTAAACTCTGTTGCAACGTAAAGTATATTCATAAACCTGTTTGAGAAAAATTGTCTCCGTGTTCAAATAAATTTCAAAAACGGGAAAAAAAGCAGTCTTTTATCGATACCCTGCAACAGAATCTTATTATTCTGACGAAGACGAATTAAATTGACTTTATAACACTCGTATACAATTATTGATTGATCGATTTTCATTATATTTATTTTGTTATACCTATCATTCAGTATGCAATCAAACAAAACCAAGTTTTTCTACATTCAAGGAAACTGTAAGTAAGGACGAGCTTTCAAAACGAACAGGTAGCAATTTCCAACACGCTTACCGAAACTCCAACATGGCGGCTCAACGTGGCTCATTTGCATAATTTATTCATAAACGCAGGAGCTTAGAACTTTGTTAGTGCTTCGGTAATCCCAGTTTGTTTATATATATAGGATTTCTATTTTTACTTGATTTATCGGTTTAAAGCGTAAGTAGAAGGAAGAAATAAATTATAAACGAAAATGTTCCGTTTCAATTCGTTTATAAGAGGCAAAAGTTAGTTTCTTTTATGATTGATTTTTGATTAGTTTTATACAATAGAGAATGACTTCTGTAGTAGTATTCTGTCTCCAAAGGACGGTCCTACTTACCAAAGATCGTGACTGAATCATAAAAGAGAATTAGTGTGAACAAGTTCAAATTGCATAACTCTATCACATTTGTCTGCGGTCGAGTTAAATTTAGATCTACTGTGTCTTTTATTTAAAGACATTTTCTGCAGTTGATTTTGTATGAAACAAATGGTAATCTGAACATATTTCTTTAAAAAATGAGTTTTCCATGTTCCTCAACCGAACACAAAATGAGAAAAATAAACATGAATTCTAAGAATAATTAGAGATATTGAAAAAAGTGTTTCATAGGATTTTCTAATTTTTTTATATGTTGTGTAAAATTTAATGACAAATTCAAAAAGAAAAGAAAAATATATGTTGGCGTGTTGGATTTTTTGAAAAATGGCAGTTTCCATGGTACCGTATATCTCAAAATTGTCAAAATAGCCAAACTGTGTTATAATAATGTATAAAATAGCTTATTACACTCACAATAAACATAATTTTATACAAAGCTTGCTTTATCTTAGGGTTCTGTATAAAACAAACGATAATTGGAGCATATTTCTTTAAAAAATAAGTTTTCATGCTTTTTAACTAAACAAAAAATGAGAAAAATAAACATTAATTCTGTAAAAAATTAAAGCTATTAAGAAATTTCTTTCATAGAATTTTCTACATTATTGATATATCAAGTAACATTTGATGGTGGATTCAAAAATAGAAATAAAATATATATGTTGACGTGTTAGTTTTTTGTAAACGGGCAGTTTCCATGGTTACCGCATATGCCAATTGTCAAAATTACCACGCTTTCTTAAGAAATATCGTCAAATATACACAAAAAACATGTTGTAATAAAAATTTCTTTTTCTTTTGATGTTATATTAAGTAAATGATACTGGATATCTTTTTAAAACATATCTAGGGCCATATTATTTTTTTCACTCGACTAACATACCCGAACAGTAAGCAAGTATTCAGAAATTTACAAGGAAAATTATGAAATTCGGAACATTTCTTAGATATTAATTTTGTTTTTTTATTCACCACTTTTAAAATATATCATTTTAAACTTCTTTGCCCAGTTGTCTGCCAGTAATCAAGTCGCGACGCACTTTCGTCACTATACCACAAGTGGGTGGGGTAACGCGCGCAGAATTATCATCAATGTTGTTGTACTAATGCTTGGAGAAATCCTTTATGTGATGTTGTCTAAATGACCTCTTATTCTTTTGAACCGATCTCCTTTTGAACTTTTAGAAATATCTATTCTGTATTATTTACTCATTATTTGCTTATAGTCGAAATTTAAACACTTATCCGAATACTATTCAACTTGACCTTCATTTGAAGAGTAATTTATTCGTGATTATCTTTCTTGGAAGCGCATAACGATGCGCAAAGAAAACTACCGAAAACGTCTTTAAACGCAATTCTAACGTGGAGTTAAAACTACAGTATCACGTCTTGGTGAGGTAATCTAAACGAATTAGCAACATGATCACTGTCTGCGTGAAACATTTTACGCATCAACTGGTCAAATAAGAATTTGGCAAAAGAAGTGGTATCAAATTAAGAGCTGCCAACTGGGCATTAACTCGAATTTGATGCGGCACACAGTTTTTATCGGGGGAGTAAAAGTAGTTTAAATGATTAAAAAATTGATATATTACAAGACTCTACACATTTTTTTCTCTTAAAGCAGATGGTACTCTAACAAATCCATGTCCAATAAAAAACATAAAACTCTAACAAAACAAAAATTGTTGTGCATACTTTTGAAAAGAGACATTATTTCCTTTTGAAGCTTAATTAGAAAAAAAGACTGATTAAAATCTTACAGTTAAAGCAAAAAAGTATCTTTGTTTGGTAGCCAAAATAACTGACAGATGAGAAAGGCGAGATATAGTGTAATAGACCTGACCAATATTTGGAGATTTTGTCCCGCCTTTCTCCCTGTCTGTAAGGCATAGAGATAAACTGTTTGTTTAACAGCAATAACCAGTGCATTTCAATAACTGACATGTGAGAAAGATGGGATATAGTGAAATAGACTTGACTTAATATTTGGGAAGCTTGTTCCGCCTTTTCTCCCTGTCTGTAAGGGGTTTAGTAGATAAACTGTTTAACTGCAATTTCCATTGTGGTTCCTCTGGTCATCGTACATATTAATGTAAAAAAGATAAAAACCTTACACAAACACCAAAGCAATTTTTATCATATTATTTCCATTAAACATCATATTATATCTAATCCTATGTTTGGCGAAATTATTGGTGTGAATCCTCCATAAGCATATAACTATATAGATATGTACAAGCAAAACAGTTTCTGTTAAAATCAGCACAAATTATTTATCTTTTTATCAGCACAAACTTTTTAAACATTGCGTTAAAAAATCAGCATAAATGTTATATCAAAACAGAACACAGCAAATCTTTCAAGCAGCAAATCCATATATCCTACTCATACTCTATTACTTTTTTATGTTAATACTTAGTTGGCGACGCAACGTAGCGATATGGCACCTTTTATAGCATACAGCAACAAAAGCGGGTCCGGAAAAAACATGGTAACCCCTCTCTAATAAATTAAACTTGGCCGAAGCTGATGGCCAAATGGGACTTGCAGGACAGTCCTACCGGCAAACAAAAGCAGCAAGGACATGTAAGAATATGGGGATCCTCGCCAAAAGTACAAGTAGGGCCAAAATCCAGGCACTGGTTTCACAATTGATTAAGAAATGACTCCAAATTATAATAACCATGATTGCTGCCCCACTAATATGTGTTCTAGTCATTGATAAAAATCATGTTACATGCCTCAGATAAATGTTTCCCTGGGACATAATTAACCTAATCGACTTGAACTAGATTGCGATGGCGCAAAAAGAAGCCCCCACTGTTTTTGATTACCCTTACGAAATAAGTGTTAAACTATTTACGGGCCGCTTGTAGCCCTTTTGTTTCTTTGTCCCAGTCACGAGGAAGAATCTCTGACCATATAATAGTAACCAACGGCTACTGCTCTTTTATGAAAGAAACCAGTCGTTTAAAGATTGTCTTGAGATCTTTGATTGGCGTGTTCTTCAAGTCATTACCTTCCACATGTAGAATCAAGTACTGAGGTGGATCACCCACATTCAAAACTATACACAGTTTTCTTCGTGTCCTACTTAGTGTTAAACCACTAAAACCCTGCCGCTATTAATGGGATTTAAACCTAGACTGCCATCTTCTGGTATCTGCCTTGCTACCGGATAAACCCTCTTTAAAATGGATGACCCCACCAACCATACTACAGGTGAACCTTAAATAACTTGAAAGCTGTTAGTTTCCAGTGTCAATATGAGAAGGGGAAAATATATACATGTATATGCATACTTTCATGCACTAAACACTAGAAAAAATAATACTGAGGAGTTCCTCCTTTATAAAAAAATCATGCATTATGTACACGTTATGCAGGCTTAATCTGACTGAATGTATGATTTATGTACACGTTATGCAGGCTTAATCTGACTGAATATATGATTTATGTACACGTTATGCAGGCTGAATCTGACTGAATATATGATTTGTACGCATCAGAGGACCATCTACCAGACTGCTTAATTTGCTCTACTGACCATCTCCGTTTGGCAGCACAAGAAGCTGCCCCAAGCGAAACTGTGTGATTTACATGCATGCAAATGGGGGTCCAGCGCAAACACTGCTCTCTTGAGGACTGCTGAAAATTGGTCCATAGTCAGGTGATGACCGTTTAAGTGACATAACAGAGGAACTTGGTCTTTATTCTATATATCTTTTAAGCTGTTCTATTGGACATGAACTACTATCTTTCAACTTTGAAATTTTTATCGATGCCCCCTTTCCAATTTGGTCTGCGTTTGAAAACCTTAAGAGAAGAATTATATGTTCATCTTCTGGACCAAAAGTTATATCCTGTATGCCTAGGCTCTTATTCATATTTATGTCAACTTTATTTGCATTGTACTCCCCAACCCGAAAATAGATGACTACTGTAAAACTGCAGAGAATAGATTACTCATAGGTGTCTCGGGCATACTAACTGAAGTAGTCTGAATAGTCTGATAGTAAATTCAATGTTCATTAGAAGGCCGTATCTACTTCCCTTTGCTTTTACGCAAGCATTCTTAATCCTTATTTATAAACTATGCATGTTAAG